TGAAAAAGTTTAACTTATGAATCTCAGCTCCTAAAATGTATTATTTATGCTGTTTATGATTGTATGTATAAAGAAAATTAACAAATTCAAATTCTTGAAGTAGTTTAGAAGAGTTCTGTTCAAGTAAGACATTTCCCTCCAATTTTTAATCTAAGCAGATGTACACATAGAAATTTTCTCTATTAATATAGTAATGAAAGTACTATAGATGCATGACAAGTAGCACAGAAATAACACTGTGTTTTGTATTCAGGAAATATGGAAAGCCTAAGTTTTGACTTTATAATATATATCTCATCTTCTTGCTCCAGTGCTTCTTATCTTTAATCACCGGAAGTTCATCAAATTGTATAACATCTTTCACAAATACTGTCTTAAGTCATCAGAGACTGCTAACGTAGTCAGTACATTGCATTGCAAAGTGAAGTGCAAACAAAAATAAAATTGCCTATTATACTTAATGTTCTAATGCTGTTAAACTTGGTTAAGCTTGATATTTAAATAGTGACAGCTAAATTCCTCAAACCTTTAAGACTGATGGGAATTCGGATCTGGAATTATCTTAACACTATACAATTGGTATAACCAGGGATGTTTTCTTCTATTCATGAACTAAATATAGGCACAGAATTTGTCATTTTGCAGTTTGTACAAGTAATTCATAGACACAAAGATAAAGAAATACATGATTGTAGATTCCTGCCCTGGATAAACTTATAGATGCCCTTTGTTGAGGTAGGCAATCTAATTAAATAAACAAACTCTTTATCTGTATGTTGTTCAAGTTCGATAATTTCTGAATATCTAGATGCTGAGGTAAGTGTATATCTCTTGCTTTTAAATAAATTTTAGTGCCAAGATAACATTTATGCAACCACTGAGAAATATTTCTGTGATGATAAAATAACGTCTCATGAGCAAACACATAATTGTTGTTATGTATAATCTAATTGAGGAGTCATTAAAAATTGTTATGATTTTTTCCATGTAGCTTATGTGTTTCCAAGTTACCTAATAGCCTGATGCTTAAGTCTAGTAGCTTATATAGAATGAACTGGTTATTTTCTAATAGAAAAATTGCCTTATTTAGCAGATTGCCATTGCTCTTAGCTCTGAGTTGCGTTCTTGCCAATGTATTGATTAGAGGATCAGACTGAATTAGCATAGGGGCTGACTTCTGATTGGCACGCCCTCGTTTTTGTGAGTTATTAGGGGGTTTTTGTGTTTAACATCGGAAAGCCCTTACCTATGTCGAGGGTGAGGTTCTAGGTACTGTATACACACCAACAGGTCTTCTGGAGTCACGGGTTAAGTCTTAGGACTCGGAGACCTTGTGGACATGAGTGTGATGTAAGCACTGTTTACATTTGTGATTGCAAACAGCTAAAGGTGCTTGAGGCTGAGAGTACACAGCCAAGTTAGACAAGTGGTCTCATCACTGGTGCATCATGGACCAGCTGTCCCACTTGTGTGTTTTGACAACGAGCCAAAGATTCTCATTCACAGTGTTTATGTGTACGTACGTGCATGCACACAGCTTAGGCTGTGTACGTGATAGTTAAGGTCTCTCACAAGTCTTTTAATGTTAAATGCAAATATTATGTATACTCATTTTCCTTATTTCCTCTGCATGTATCACTTAATATTACCGCTTACGTTATTTGCAGATGATATAATATGAGTTTCTGCTGTTTGTGATAAGCAAGTTCCTGAAAGCATTATAGTACTTTTGTTTTGTTTTGGTTTGTTTTTTTTTGGGTTGTGGTTGTTTTTATTTTTTAAGGATGACAATAAATAAAAGTCTCTTTGTGTCAGGAAAAAAAAAAAAAGTCAGTGTATACAGATTTCCTTATTTATCCTAACTACACCTCTGCCCCCTTCACATTCTCTGTAAGATGGATCACTTGCCTCCTGGTTTTGCTGCACTGTTGAAGAGTTTCCTACCTTGAATTCTCATGGCTTACAAGCTAAGAATAAGATGAGAACAGCAAATGGATGGTGAGATAGGAGAACTCAAGCAAAATGGCCAGCGCAGCAGGATCTTAATGGGTGTCTTTTTTTTCTGAACTATAAAAATATAGGTTTGAAACACATAAGTAAGCAGTTTTGTGGATAGATACAGGGAATTCATCCCATGGATGGGATCAACCTGATAAAACCCAAAAAGATACATCCGTGAAAAGCAAAAGGTGTGTGGTAGAGTTTGGAGTGTTTGAATACTAACTCCAGTCTTTCAGTACTGAATGAAAGATGGTTTTTGGAGTGGGGTTGGGCTGTAATGTGCTTTGAAAGAAAGGCAGCTTGTATTTCGGGCGAGTGGAGAGGGAGTGGGAAGATATCCCAAGAAAATAAATATGTAACAGAATAGGAGAGACCTGTCAATCAGGTACTGATTCTTTGACCATTTCTTGGAGGGCATGAGCAGAACAAGTTTACATTTGTCAAGGTTGGAAAGGGTGTCTTCGCAGTGATCAAGATGTGAGATAATGACTTGAAACCTTATTGAGACTTAGCTACCCAGCTCTTAGACAGCTTTATTCTTTGTGAAGTATGAGGAAACCACATCTTTATCTGAACAGTCTGAATGTGGGGACAAAGAAGCTGGAATAAAAGATGTTTGCACTACTGACCTGTGTAATGATGAAAGTAACGGTAATGTCTGCAATAACTGAGAAAGAACTAACAAGGAAGAACAACAGGGTTTTTTAGCCATGTTGAATTTGAATTGGTGCCTAATTGTCCACAATTTGATGCTGGTGACATAGGCTGAGATTTCAGGAAACTGATCACAGAACATCAGTTGTGGTATTTCACCTGTTTGGATCAGTTCCTGCAAAGTATAACTGAGATTTGTTGCAGCTTTTCTCCTAAGAACATCTTTGAAGCCTATCGACAAGGTGATTTAAAAACCAAAATAAAGCAAAAAACAAACAAAAACCCCACCAAACACTTCCTTCTGATGCTGTCATTTGAGAAAAGGTCATCAGTCCTGTGAGGACAGGCTGAGAGTTGGGGTTGTTCAGCCTGGAGAAGAGAAGGCTCCAGGGAGACCTTATTGCGGCCTTCCAGTACTTAAAGGGGGCTTATAAGAAAGATGGGGGCAATCTTTTTAGCAGGGCCTGTTGCGATAGGACAATGAGTGATTGTTTTAGACTAAAAGAGGGTGGATTTAGAGTAGATATAAGGAAGACATTTTTTATGATGAGAGTGGTGAAACCCTGGAACAGGCTGCCCAGAGAGGTGGTAGAAGCCCCATCCCTGGAAACATTCCAGGTCAGGTTGGACGGGGCTCTGAGCAGCCTGATCCAGGTAAAGATGTCCCTGCTCACTCTAGGGGGTTGGACTGGATGGTCTTTGAAGGTCCCTTCCAGCCCAAATTATTCTGTGATTCTATGACACTATAAATCTGCACTATGAATGAATTCTAAGGTTCTTTTCTTACTGGAGTTAATATGAAAGGAATTCTGTTGTGCAGGCTCTGTTGTACAAAGTGGTAGAGAGGAAGGAAGATTGTACACTGTGATAACATAGTTGAAACCACAGATCAAAATTTGAAACTGTGTTAGCCAGAAATAACATGTATAAACTGCTTTGAGTCAACAACACCGAGTCTTGGTGAGTGATTGCTCATTCAGAACAAAAGTAAGATCAAAAAATAATTCATGCATAGGTAAAAGAAGGAAATTATTGCCTGAAGAAGCAAGTGTAGTTCAGAAGTTGATTTTCTCATGGCAAAGTGTCCTTCCACCTGCAAAGATTCATCTGCTTTCTCTGTTTTGTGTGCTAAATTATTAATACAGATCTGTTACGTTGCTGTTGAGACAAAGTCATACTCTGAACAAGTGGCAGAGTGTTATTATCAGACGCTACATATCAACACTTGTCGTAGAAGGAAGTACTTTTCAGAAGGACCATGTTGCAAATTAATGGTCGCTTTCTCTAAAGCAGAAGGATTCTGAAAGGAGCAGACAGCTATTGCTGCATTGTTCCCTAGACTAGTTTGAAGGATATTCCCCTTCTGAAAATTATCCCAGGAGGCTCCTTCACAGGGAAGTGTTAGTAATTTCGAAAGGAAGGAACTCTGTTTAGTTAAAGCTAAGCATGTTGGCAATGGCCTGTATGTATAGGATGCTTCTCTCTTTTCCCATTTTCTCCAACACCTCTTTCAACACTTGGCTTAAACCACCGTGTGTAATGGTCCTAGCTAATGAGGTATATTTTGCAGTTTAGTCTATGAATGTGTGTAGTGAGTTACCAGAGCAAAACTGATGAACAGCCACTTGCTAAGCCAAGTGCAGTTGCTTGTCATCATTTATGTGCATATGCTAAAGTGATTCTCCTCCTCCCATCCCCTCCCAAGACATCTTTATCAATATACCTCATTCCTCCTTTAGGAAACTTCCACTGTAACGTTCTGAGCCTTGGGCTCTGATAAATTGTGACTGTCACATTCGATTATGACAGGTACTATGTGTCCTGTTAACGGGGGCTTTCTCCCTCCACAGGGAATATCGTATGTCTGCTACATAACATCATGTAACTTGTTTTACTTGAAGCTGATTAGGTCATGAGAGGCAGAAGATTACTCTCTAGTGAGCAGCAGTGCATAAATCCTGTTTTCTATGATAAATATTTCATATATAAACCTTTAATACAGGCTGTGGACTTGTAGAAATTGATTTCCATTGGTAACTTGGATCACTTCACTACTGCAGGCTGTGAATAAAGGAAAAGCCCGAGTGTTTTTGTACAGTGTTTAGCATGAAAGCCCTGAATCCAAGTTGTAACACTGGTGCACAATCACACAAAGAGTAAATGAGATCCATAATGGGATGCGAAAAGTTCATATTTCTCAAAGCTGTCCCTGATAAGTATCCCGTGAATTGCTGTGAGCAAGTAGTGCTGAAGAATGCCAGTCCCATTATCAAATTGATAAAACTTATTTTCCAGGTAAGGGTCTGCTACAGCAATTTGGAAATCCCAGTCTTCCTTTTAGATCACATTTAATTGTTGTCTTTTTCCTTGCTTGTCTTAGCTCCATCCAGTCATAACTATCATTCTTTTTCTAAAAAAATCCTTGATTTTTGGCACTTCTGGTGAGCATTTTTTTCAGTTCTGTCTTTAGCCCTCAGTTGTTCAACACCATAGGCTTGACTAATCCCTAAAAAACTATGAAATCAGAGAAATTAATCCATTTGGTACTGAAACAGGTGATTTTTGGACTGTTTCTTTTGTTACTATCAAAGGGAATGTGCTGCAGCCACAGAAGCAGCTTCATAGAAATAATGAGCTTAAGAGTGACTGATAAATCACACATCAGTTTATTGTATTAACCCATTTTTCTCCACTAGAGGCTTTGCAGACTGTGCTGAATAATAAAATGTCAATTTATGTCTGTTAACATTTTGTTAGAAACTTTGTACGGAATGTGGCTTTAGTATCAGCTGATTTAGGATCAGAGCAAAGGAACAAATTGAAATTGATGTAATCTACAGTAAAATAAATTATTTCTTCATTTATAGATATGGCTTTTAAATTCTGACACATTGCTGGTGGAGTCTTTGGGAAGTTCCTCCTCCTACAGTGTTTTTACACTGTTTGGAGATATTTTCATGCCTAGCCCTGGACCAGTGGGGACCTGGAATGCTGTCAAAGTCCTTTACCAGCCATGCATTAAAAGCAGGAATAAGGAGTAAGTACAGCTTTTTCTGACCTCAGGTTCTGATCTTTGATTTGTTTTGCATTTCAGGGCAGCAATCTTTCTTTGAGGTTCTTTGGACAGTCCATTAATCTTAGGGATATAGGTCTTTGTAATTCCATACCATTTTTAATTTTCTTTTTTTTATTATTTTTTTTTTTATTTAAGCAAAGTGCCAGAGGAATAGTATTTGGTTTCTGTTACAGCCAGAGAGAATCTGGTTGTTAATTTTTTTCATTTATGCATTTTTTTCCCCTATGTTAACTCACTGCATTTTTAGAGCTTGGTCATTTTTCCAGCTCTGTTGGCAAAAGCTGGAACGATGGTGGTGCCATGAATCCCACGGAGTGTCAGTGAGTTCCATCTGTATGGTCTCAGAACATGCTGTTCTGCAGCTGTAGCTCCAGGGGATGTAATGCAGGGAGGAGGAAAAATTGAGGGGGACTAAGTAGAATGGGCTGACTCCTGAATGATGCATAAGTTTAGCCAGATCTCCCTCTTTGCCTTCAATTTCTGTTTTGTGTGTGAAAATTTGATCTGATCTGTCAAGTTATTTATGGGAGTAACCCTCTCTGCAGTCCCACAGTAAAGAATTTGGACCTTATTGGTACAGCTGAAACCAAGAGGGTAGAGGTGAGCAGTTACTAGTTTAGCAAATTATACCTGCCTGTTCCAGCTTCAGTCTTGACCTTTTTTGTTTTAAAATTATGCTTGGTTTTGCAAGAGAAAGAGCTGTTCACAGGACAGCTGTCTGTTTAAGCGAAGTTATCTTCAGTACTACAGGTGTTGTCTGGTGGTCACAATAAATTAGTGTAATGATCATCTCTGTATATACAGACATCTAACAGTGTCCATGTTAAAAAGATACTTGTGCATGTAGCCTAGCAGAGTAATATGAATAATGCTGTATCAGTATAGCATACTCTCAGCATATAGCATGTTCTCAAATATGAATAATGCTGTATCAGTATAGCATACAGCATGTTCTCGGAAGCAAAGTCCTTTCTAGATACAATTTAGAAGTTCATTGAGTTATCTAATTAGCCTCTCTGTGTTTAACGTCAACTGGCGTTCAGCCCAGTGGTGGCATTATTTCAAAAAGAAATGGAGCCATGAGAGAAGGGGAAAGAGAAGAAGCAAGGAAGGTGGTTGAGTATAATGCCATACAAATGTTTTTCTTGAATGTGTCCAAGTCTACTGGAGCCCTCAAAAAGGAAACATTTGATTTCAGCAGGCTTTGAAGTCCACATTATGAAAAATATGCACTGCCTAACATGTTAAAACCATTATCTGTTGGAGAGCAATGATAAGAGAGTATTGATTAAGCAGTGGCTCCAGTGTTTGCAGGTGATAGAGTATGATTTTAGCATAATTTTCTGCTTTTGTTTCTGCAGTGATAGAAGAGAAAGCATTGGCTTTGTATGGGTCACACTTAAATAGTGGTTTGGTTTTGTCATTTTACCTTTAAACTCCTGGAAACTAGATGAGAGATTTAAAGAAGTATGGATGTATTTAACATTTAGAAGACATTCCCTCCAGACTCAGTCAGTACACAACTTATTTATCACCGAAGACCTCATAAAAGTACAACAAAAGTGGTGTCTCACACAGACAAGCAAACATGTGCATATGAATTTAAACATTTTCATAGGAGAAATAGACACCTTACAAGAATGTGTGATTCATCATAGTGTTTATGCTGAATGTTGCCATTTATTTTTCAAACAGATCCAATACTGAATAGCTGAAATAAACTCTGACATAGGAAGAGAATGCAAAATTCTAATGTTTAGAATAAAGGTGATGCTACATTATTAATATTATTCATGTAAGGGAAAAAAATTACGTTTATTAATATAGTAGCTTCAGAAGTTGGCACTGGAAAACCTCTGTGATCTAAATATTATTTAGTGATGCAAAATACATCTTAAAGAATTATCATTTAAACTGCTTATTCTTAGAATGGGAGATATTGCAAGAACCACTACCTGCTCTAACATGAAAGATACTTCACTTACCGCTCTTAAGTTTTACAGAAGTGTAACTTACAGTTTTGCTTTTCAAGTTTCAATTATTTGTCACTGAGAAGATTTAGTTACCTTAACACACATTTAGTTACTTTGACATATTATTGAGATAAAAGTCATATCTACTTAATCCCTTACCTACCATTCACAAATGTTTTTGTTGAATGGAGTTCTCAGTGGCAGAATTTTATGGTGAGATTATATTCAGTTCTCTCCATTTCCGTGGACAGACTTGTTACAAATCACTTGTTTCTGGAGATTACTTTGTATTTATCTTTGGGATTTTGCAGTGAGCAGAAGGCACAGCTGATGGTTTAATTCTCCTCTGACAGTAATTGACATCTTCACTATCTAGTCCCTGGACAAATGCAAAAATAGAAGAGAAAGAATAGAAGGTTCTTTTTAAGATTCGGAAACCAAAGTAACTATTTATTTAGTATAGTTTTCCCATTTTTATATTTCTAGTAAAAAACAGTAAAAAGGACGTTAGCGCTTCAATCTGTTTCCACTAACTCATTTACCAGTTGGCTTGAAGTACTGCCTGGATCTGTGCAGTAAGACTGAAGTCTTTCTATGTTGAACAAGAATGTAAACACAGCAGAAGCAAAAATACCAAAACCAGTACAACTTACTTAATGCCATGTGTTTGCATTTAGATCTCAAGTATTATTTCAAGAATTCTGAACAAAGTTTCTGATTTCTTGAATAGTGCAAGTTCCAAATGTTTTAAATGCCCACATTCTGATAATAGTTATAATACTTACCTTGCTTGTTTCTGCGTACACACCTGCCCTTGAAATAATGCAAAGGTTTCAGAGTCCATGGTCCGCCCGCCCCCCCCGTCAGTGAGGAGTAAGCAGAGATACATCCTGTGTAGGAAGCAGTCAGCAGGAGGTCTGCTTGTGACCTAGATCCAAACAGCTGCAAGGGGTAAGTGTGCACTAATATCCTCTGGCGTGTCAGGGAGCCTCTTCAGCTGTTGCGAGTCACTGTGTACACTTGGGTCCTGTCTGTTTCTGGCAGTGCCAGAATCTGATCTGTGCCATGGGAGGGGAAGTACCTTTCTTACCTGTGGACACTGCAGAGTCTGTGCTGGGTAGCTTGGCCATAGGTTAAGCCAGATTAAGGTAAATGAGAAATATAAGCACTTTTTGGTAATATCTAAATATAATAACGTAATCACGCATTTGTAAAATATGGATGAAGTAATGAAAGGAAATCTGTACTTAGTCTACTTCAACAAGCATATATCTACTTACTCTGATATAAATACATAGTTCTATGGTAACGTTCAAAGTCTTGGGCTTTCTGAAATTGTCCTGTATTAAGCTACCTCTGCTAGAGAGAATCTAACTGGGATTGTCTAATAATACACATTGAAGCACCCCCTTTTTGAAGCAACGCTTAGATTCAGATTCCTTGGGATGCACTTGAATATTTCTCTTTGGGGGAGTGTAGTAGCTTTTATGCATGATCTTTCTTTTCAAGACTTCTGGGATGTCAGGAGATATTTACGATCTCACTCCAAAACTCATTTTATTCCTTTATTCAGAGCACAGTTTTGCAATTCTTCATAATTAACATAATGCTTATTTTTCTTCCTCAGATATAGAAGTATTTTTTTTCCCCTAAAACTAGGCATTATGTCCTGTGAACACCACCGTGCTTCAGTGAGCAACAGAACTCCTTCTTTCTTCCAGTAAATCACTGGCATATCTATCACTATACCTTACATTCAGTATTACTCTAAATGTTAACAATGCAAAGGAAACAAACATTTGTGTAGGATAAATGTTTGTGGTTCATTACTGGCTGCTGAGTGATGCCAGCCGCAATGTTAATTAACCCATTTGGAGCGATAGCTCTTTGGGGGTGGCTGATCCCTAAAGCCTGCTGTACCAAAACTGTGTTCTGAGTTAGGCTGAACATTGCTGAGAAGGTGATTACACCTGTATGGCATCTACCTTTTTATTGACAATGTGCTGAATCATGTTGAATTTGTTGATCTGTGTTGACCATCAGATCCTTTCCAATAGGTTGCAGTCTAATAAGCAGCCTTCCTCTCTGTTTTTGTGCAGTCGTCCTTTGTCAATTTTCATCCTAATTTTGTTCAGAACCTTTTTATCTGTTGGCCGTGGCAATTTTGATTTTCAACATGTGGCATTCTGACTGCCCTTCCCAGCTTCATGTCATTTGTGAATGAAAGAAGCTTCTCTCTTGTTCCAGTCTCTGGGAAAGCAACTGAGATATTGAACAGGACCAAACTAGGAACATGTCATGTGGAGCCTCTCTCTGTATACCTTTGTTTTGGCAGTGAGTTATTAACAGTTGTGCTCTGGGTATTCTCTTTATGTTAGACTGCTTTGCGTAAGAACATTCAGTAGCTTTTAAGGCATTGTGAAGTTAAGACATGGTTAGGTATATCCAGACATGCTATTTATGGTATAACTCTTGTCGTTTCTCCTTGCAGAGCTCTTTATCTCTGATCTTCCTGAGGGTAGCCTTTAACTGTTGTATTGATTTGTATCTTCCTCCTTCAGCTGTTAAACAGGGCTAGAAACACTTAGATGTGTCTTCTGTGTGTTATCATGAGTTCTGGGTAGGTCTGTCTACCCTTAGGCTTCCAGCCATTGTGGGAATTTTATGAGCAATCCTACAACAAATTAGTTGAACTTACATAGCATGGTTTGGGTTGGAAGGGACCTTAAAGATCTTCTAGTTCCAACCCCCCTGCCATGGGCAGGGTCACTTTCCACTAGACCAGGTTGCTCAAAGCCCCATCCAGCCTGGCCTTGAACACTGCCAGGGAGGGGGCAGCCACAGCTTCTCTGGGCAACCTGTTTCAGTGTTTCACCACTCTCACATATGCTGTCATTTTTTCTTCACCTGTGAAAAAAAATGTGTTATGAGTGTAGCTGAATCCTATCAGAGAAGGATGCCTCGCACGTTTTCTGTTTCATTCTTATG